CCATATTGCAGGTCAAGAGCTGCCATAGTGTCAGTGAATGGATGATTTGAACTACTGTAGGAATCAGCAACCAATAATGCTTCTTCTGTCTTCAAATGATCGACCAGGATCTGATATTTAAATCTCTCTGATGCATCGGGAGGAAGGAGATTGCTTAAAGCAATTTTCAGACGATTGTATTCTCTGGGATTTGGATAACTCATATCAGGAATTGTGGGTGTTGGCCCTCTGTAGTACTGCTCCTGTCCACCTACTGGGCTTAGCGTTCGGTGACGTGAGTGACGGTGTTTGCTCCTGGATGAGTCATCATACTGGTATGACTGAGAAGCATGACGTCTGTGTGAGGGTGACGGGTGTTGATATTCAGAATCGTCGCTATCAGATGAACTGGTGTAGTACCTCCTATAACTGCGACGTGAATAACTATCTTCTCTCGGTTGAAACACCGAATAACATTGTGGGGGTGGGAGCTGAGACTCTGCTGTGGTTGCCATTGGTGACCTCTGTGTGGTGTTCATCTGTAACTGCTCAATCAGTGCTCCCAAATGTTCTACTTGTTTACGAAGTTGGGTATCAGAAGTGTTGTGATGACTGAGGGTCTCCAGTTTCATCTGACTGCGCTTGTTCTGACAGCGCAGTGCAACATTCTGTTGCCTTAACTCTCTCAGCTCGTTAAGCACTGCTTAACGAGTAATTTTTTGGTTCGAAAAATCACATCCCTGCACATTTTCCCAGAATAGAAGGTGACGTTGGTTTTCAACGACCAGCGGGCCAAAACTCGATCTTTCATTTGCAGTCAAATTACAGCTAAACCATTATGCAAAGTCATAATATTATACATCAGCTGACATCTAACAATAAAGATCTGTTTTAGATTTCTTACAATAACGGCCCCTTGAATTAGTGGTTTGGGTTTTCCTTGATATGATACATTGCAGAACGTACGTTCCCCCAGATCAGATCAGGTTCTCAGATATAAACCCTGGGGTGACCGTGCTTTTACTGTTGCAGCCCCTAAATTGTGGAATAGTCCACCTTTTAATGTTAGATCAGCTACTGACCTCAGTACTTTTAAATCTTTGCTTAAAACGTATTTATTTGGCTTGGCTCTTAACACACAGTAGGGCCTGATGCGTTCCTTTTCATTTTCATTTATTGAACGTGTGTCATCTGTGTGTCTGTGTTATAGGCTGTTTTACTTTTTATTTTATTTTTTGCACTGATCTTATTTATTCTATTTTAGTCCTGTATTGTGATTTTATTCTGCCATGTAAAGTACTTTGTTCAGCTGGATGTTGTTTTTAAAGTGCTATATAAATAAATTTGATTTGATCTGGTATGTTCAAGACATTTTTTCAGTGCATTGTTGCCCACAGTGTTTATCACTTGTGGCCATTTTTCAGGAAGTTGAAAGTCGCACGCTGGTTTTGAGTCGGATGAGTGTGTGGCGACTCCTCTCCAAACAGCATGTCGAGGTCACATCTGCTCCTGGTGTGCCCTGACCTATGCCATCTGCCTTCATGAGCCAGGAGAATATGGCATTAAGCACAACCAAGCACACAGTCACTACCTGAAATAATGAAATAGGTTTATCCTTCCTCATGTAATGCAAAGCTGTACTGAACACACAGTATTTGGCTCGCTGTGGGTCTTGGAGCCACCTTTTTGAGTTTTGTTTGGGTTAGGTCATCTCTACAGCAAGAATCTCTCTCTACAGTAATGTTTATTTTCCTTGCTCTGAATCTGTGTTGCTCTTAGGGCCTCGTTGTAGCAAGTGTGAAGTATGTGTAGGTGGCTAGATGCAGTATTTCCTTTTTAGTTCAGCCATTTTTTAAATACAGAAATAATCCAACAGGCTTTGCATTATAGGTTGTGTTGTATTCATTGTAGATTGCAGATGTTTGCTGGAATAACTAATAAATGAAGCAGGGAGTCTTGTTCATACTGACCAGTCGACAAGATTAGATTGATAGAATGTCTTTATGCAGCATCTTCTGTCTTAGTTTCCCAATTCAGTTCAGTGAAGCTTTACTAGAAAGACATGACCAAAAACATGTTGGCAAAGTATATTCTTAATCCTTACATGGAAATATGCTTGGATATACAGCTGTTCTCCTAGTTGTCACATCAGCAGCTTAAATGAGCTGCTTTATTAAACTTTGTCTCTGTATATGGTTCAAAAGTGCATTAAGTCTGGGGCTAGTCAAACTTTAATTTGACTGGTTTCATTTCAATGTCTCTCATTCTCAGAGATTCAGAGGGTCGTAAGCTCTGTAAGAAAGTGAAGGTGGACCCGAGCTCCAAACGTGGAGGCGCAGAGCTGCTACATTACAAGTGAGTAACCTGAGACTCAGCTGGCTGTCAGACACTTTTCCACATCTCAGTGCTTTCTGGAAAGTAATACCATGTTCACAACCTGAGAAACGTGTGATTCACTGTTTACTGCTGGCGTTGTGAGCATTGTGCCTGATGTGTTTTGCAGAGATGGGACATTCCACATGGAGTACAATAGACCTGCTACCTTCAAGGTGAGTGCTCGGCCACGAGCTTCCAGCTCCAGTGGAGCATAGTTGTTCCCTTTATGTCTGGTTACTTGAGACTTTTCACATTCATAGTGATATAAAAACATCATTAACCATATTAAACTATCCTGTGGAGTCCAGTGTGTCTGTCTACATTAAATCTATACATTTGGTAAGATTAGAGCAACGTGTCCCATTTTGTGAAGACTGTGGATAAGCAATGCAGGGAAAACGTAACGTAGGGCTAAA